TGCACTGTGAGAAGTGCAGAGAAAATAGCAGTTTGAATAAAGTGTATAGAAAAAAATAAATAACAGGTTTTTTGCACTTTATAAATCTGTGCTTAGCATCAGAAAGAAAAACTTCTTACTAAATTTTAAGAGCAGAGATCTGCCTTCCCAAAGTCTGTATCGTTTATGAACTCATATTGTGATATATGGATGTACAGTAAAGTATTGGTACCTGCACCCCTGCCTTTGGATAGTCCTAAAGCAGAATAGGCAGAGCAGGATAGTAGTTGGAAGGTAAAATTCTGGAGTTATTTGCTTTCCTTGGTGAGCTTTTGGAAAACTTAATTTGCATGTGTTTGTTTTTCAGGAAGTCTTTATGCACTTTATGCACTTTATGCCTGTTTAATTATGAATTGTAGAGCAATAATGAAGTCCTGTTTTATTCAGCATACTGCAGTGAGCTCTTGTGCTTATATGCAAGCTCATTCTTACAATAAAAGATTTTATTATTTTTTGAATATCTTGAGTCAGTTTCTGTAAATTAGTTTTATGTTGTTTTACATTCTTCTAGCTTCTAGCATTTTTTTTTAGTCTCAAGAGATTTTTTTTTCCCCAAAGAAATGTAGTGATCTCTTTTAAATTTTTCCTGCAGTGCTTGGTAAGCAATGAATCTTTAAGTGGATGAATTGAATTGTCAGATAAATAGAGGGATAAAACCCATCAATGTTGATCCTTTTTCATTTTCCCAGTAGAGTGACAGATAAATTAGTCTCTGTAGTAACAGAATCATAGAACAGTATATGTTGGAATGGACTTAATATATTACATTATGTACACATAAGCATATATGTGTCTATGTAAATGTGTGTATTTTAGGATCCCATCCTTTATGCATCTGTTTATGGACACATTGATTTCATATTCTTAACTGTGGCTGATGATCATCTCTTCAGGCAACTTCCATAACTCATCTTGTGAGGAAAGACAGTTCTGCATCAAATCCCGGTGCGTTTAGAAAGCAAAGGATTTTAGTAAAGGGCACCATAGGTTCATTCATACCATCAGTTGACAGTTCGAAACCCTGAAACATCTCAGTTTGCTCAATATCCAGTTAAGGGTTGTAGCAGAAAAACCTGTGCAATGAAAGTGCAAAAGCTTTGAAAAGTTTTGTTTAATCACTGACTAACCCTATGTCATGAGACTATGAGAATTGCTTGTTTTCAGAAGTACTGGAAAGGGTATCAGTAAAATACTGGATGAGTTGCACAGCAGTTCATTGTAGATGTTCTGACAAGAATGATGTTTACAAAAGTTGATGGCAAATTGACTTCTGATTTAAATAGGCATCGGTAGCTGGGGAGATAAAGCATCAACATAAGCACCAACATATCATTCTAGCTGTAATCAGAAAAATGACCTATGGGTCATCATCTGGCTAAACAAAGGACAGACATGAAAACCTTCTGCAGCAAATTTTGTTTTCATACATCTTGATAAAAATTCAGGTTTTTTTCATATGTTTAATAGATATCTATAACCTTTCAGTTTTTTTACTTTATGGAGAATATCAGATGCATACTTTCAGATAGACAGTGTCAGATGTTTGTTTGATGATGCCATAGCTAGAATATAAATATTAAAATATGTGAAGATCTTTACAAATCACTGAGTTGTCTAATTCTACTTTGAACTGTTCCCTATCAATATAGTTATGAACAAAAGTAGTACTATAAGAAGTCACTCAAATTATATTGATTGGAACTGTCCTATGCCGAAGTTTATGGAGTTGGGTAAATTTGGTTATGACAGGAAAGATTTCTGAGAAGATTAATACGTTCAGGTTACCTTGCTCTACTGGGCAGTGCATAATGCACAAATACATTAAAGAAAATGACAACAATTAATTTCTAACCATTACTTTAAAAACAAGCAGGTGTGGCATGAATCATCCAATGCACCACCCCCTCCCCCAAAGTCTCCTGTTTTGACTTTGATTCTAAAAATTAACTCTTCAGACCTTGCTAAATCTTGTTTTTCTGAAGACAGTGTTATGAAAACATAAAAAATAGAACTGAAAAATAAAAACTTGTTTTAAAAAGATTTCTCTGAGTCCCTACTCATAACATGGTCAACAGAAAAGCCCTGCTGTCTTGCAGGACTGATTCAAAGGCTTGTACTCTGCTAACCTCCAGATATCATGCAGCACATTTTAAAAAGTTTAATGCTGAAGTGGTATTCTTGCAAAAGGCTGTAGTGAATATATATGCCAATTTAACAAAATGGATGGGTGTGTTACAACAGATTATTAGTGGAGGTTGGAGCAAGTGAAAAATGCAAGGAAGAAAATAGCTGATTGCTGTCAGAGGTTGAGGAACACAGACTGTCTTTTACAGAAATCCGTTTGCTTTAAAAATGTTTGCTCGTTCTGAGTAGGGTTGAGACAGAGGGGAATCTCAGAGGGTCTAAAGACTGAAAACTTAATTGGGTCAGTCAGTTAAAACTGAGGTACTCCAGGTAGGCAAGGGATCATCTAGGCTGTGCTGAGAAAACTCACACCTCGAAGACTCAGTTAGTTTGACACTTATTATAGGAAAATAGCTCTAATTTTTAAGAATTGAGCCTCAGAGACACACTGATCTTTTCATATGGGAATACGTACGATGTAATGCGGAATTCTTGTCTGTGTTTTCCTGTGAAGTCAAAAAGCCCTGTGCAAAAAGGGTATTGTTTAATTTCCTTCCTGTAGTACCTACACAGTCCCTCTCCTTGTCATAATTCGAATGTGCTTAGAAGTATTTGGTTAATTCATGTCTCATGGTGGTATGAGACTGGATACTGTGAGGCCAAGTGGGTTTTATATATGCCTTTTACTGTCAACTTTCTACTGGCTGCTTCTTCAGTGCTTGTTCTGTTGCTGTGTAATTATGCTCAAAGGTTGCAGGGGGAGAGTTCGTGATTTTTGTTTTGTTTTTTAACCATGACATCTGTTTTAATGCTGCCTTAACAGCTTTATAAATTGAATTGATAATGCAGCATCCAGTTTTAATTTCAGTGAGCAGTTAGGAAAAGCAACCAGTGTAGAAAGATTGTATCTTCTAAGCATCACACACATACTCTTCTTGAGTCAGGTTTTGGCATCTCAGGTATACTGCTTGACACTCAAGCCCAGATACTGAGCGACTTTGATCTCAGGCACATGGCGATGAGTAAAGGTTTTTGCCACTGTCTTACATAAGGCTTACATGGGCTGTGGAAGCAGGGGTCACAGGAAATAGGCTGGATGAATTTCCTACGAGTTGCAAAACTGGCTGAAATCCTGTACTGCTGTAATTGTCAGTTACTTGCTGATAGAAGGAAAGAGATTTAATTTGGCTCTAATGGTGAAACAGAGTAAGTTTGCTAGACATGCCGGTTCTGTTAAACCGGGAGGAAATGCTGGCACATTGGAAGGACTGGGTTATCGTTAATAACATCATTGACAGCCTGGACTGCAAAAAGAAAAAAAAAAAATCAAGTCCTTTAGCACAAGGAAGAGAAAAGTCTTCAAGTAGTTATGAAACAAAGGACAGGAATACTGTATCTCAGCTGAATATAGGTAAGATGTAGTAGATTAATGTTGTAAGAAGTCGTACAGCATAGAACAAAGTCTTTAAAGATAAAGGTTAATTAAATATAGTAATAGCATAGGAGAGTTGCTTCATTGTTTAATAATTATAAGTCTTTAAGGACAGATAAGGCAAATACTTGTTAGGATTGATGAAAACTTATTTACATCTGTCTTGTAAGTACGCTAGACAACCTCTTGAAGTCTCTTTCAGGCTTGCCTGCTGTTGGGCTTTTATTTGTTTGCACTTTTATGATGAAAAAAATAAATTAAAAAAAAAACCCTCACCACAGTCTTAGAAATGTTCTCAACCCACCCAAGTAGCTCATCTCTTCATTCTTTACTGATTCAATTCTTAACAAAGGAAAGACAAAAGAAAATACACTTTGGTAACTTACTCAAGTGTTCTTAATGAAGGGAGCATAAATACTGAAAGTCAATTATTTTTGCTTTGCAGGCTACGGGATGACAGAATTAGGATAGAAAGGATGGAAAACCTCCATTTTGAATACAGCCATGCTTTCCAGCTGATTACTGATTTTTATGCAAAAGAAGTGCATGATACTACAGGTATGTCATTCCGATTTTTACACAAAAGAATGCTTGAAATTACAGGTCTGTCATTGAGAATGTCTTTGAAGTATGCATCCTGTTAGCTTTTACACAGATAAGGAACACATGTGGGTGCATCCCATCAGGTCTCATGGACTTGTCTATGTCCAATTTGCTAAGTGTTCTCTAATTGATCCTTCTCTGTTAAAGGAGAAGTCGTCATTGCTCCAGAATTTCCCACTGGTCTGAGAGGCCTTGGATTCCTCAAGACACATCTTACCAGTACAGACCAAGACAAAGAAGGCTTTGAGTTCCTCAACCTTTTCCATGTCCTTTGTCACCAGATCTGCTGCGCCATTCAGCAGTGGGCTCACATTTTCCCATGTTTTACTTTTCCTGCTGTTGTATTTGTGGAATCTTTTGTTACCCTTCATGTACCTTGCCAGTCTCAACTCCAAATGGACTCTGATTTTTGTAACCTCATCCCTGCAAGCTTGAACAATGTATCTTATATTTTTCCTGGGTCACTTGTCCCTGCTTCCATCTCTCATACTCCTCCTTTTTAAAGTTCGAGTTAATCAGGAGCATCTTGTTCATCCATGCAGCCCTTCTGCCACCTTTGCTTAATTTTCTGCACATTGAGATCTTTTTGGAGCTTGGAGGAGGTGAACTTCGAAAGTGAATGTTATTTAAATAGAAATGAATACAGGGCTAGCATCCCTTTTTATTTTTTTAGTAACTTGAAGATGTGTGTTTAGACAGATTTAAATTCACACATATATAGCAACTGAGGGAAATTATTCCACATCTGAAATGTTTCTTCAAGTTGTTGTGTGTGCTAACACTCTTAAGAACAGAAAAACAGCTTAAAAAAAAATCCCTGAAAAACTAAATAGGGTTTTTAAAAAATAGTATTTTATATTGAGATATCACGGAGTGAGTTTTCCTGTTGTTGTAGCTGGAAAAGGAACTGTAGAGCACTGTCTAGAAACACTATGAAATATGAATAGCTGTGTCACAAAGATGGAATCATATTTTGCAGATTGACTGAGGCAGATAAATCATCAGCACATGTGGCAAGGCCTTTTCATTCCTTTTAATTTGCAAATATGTGGCCTACAGTAATGGAGATTTCAGAATTCAGTTCTTAGTTTGTATATTTAGAAATTTCTTAAGCCAACAGTCATTTTTATGAAGAAAAATCTGTGAGTCAAATATTTTGTTTCGTAATGTGTTTACGTTATTGTAATGTTTACATTCTTATGTTATTTTGGAACCTCACTTTATGTTGGTTTATAGATATCGTAGAACACTGTACATTTATTACAGATTTGTATTTGATTAAGTTGAAAATAGTTGATGCTTTTTCTAAAATACATAAGTAGTAAATGGTGAGTTAACAAGAAAATCGCATTTATTTTTAGGTCCTCAAAAACTATCCGTAATACTCAGCTTGGATAAGCCTGTTATTTGCTCCCTGGCAGCAGTAATTGCATACCTCAAAGAATTTAATTTGGAAAAGATGCTTTACAATCCAAGGTAAGTTGCCTTATATAAACTTCCAATTTAAAGCACTAATACATGTATCAGTGTTGCCTTGTAAGTTTTAGCAGACAAGTTCACTACAACGTATTGAACCCACCTGCTAGAGTGATAAACACAGTCTTTGTTAAAATTATACCTCACGTTTAAGTTCCTAAACAGAACTGAAGGAATCAAGTAATTTTTTTTTTAAGTGGTATTTCATGAAAATCTTCATGAAGTGTGTTTGCCTAGACATTACTGTCATTAATGTAAATGAACATGTACTGCTGCCAAGTGTTATTGAAAACAACCAAGGTGCAAAAACTGTTGGTACTAGAGGGCAATTTTAGCATTTTTTAGTATCAGCCATTATATCTCAATCTCAGTTTTACTTTGTGAACAAAATTTGGGGCTTTTTTGGCAGCTTTATTTAAAAAAAAATTATTTTGCCAGGGTGTGTCAATAATTTTATCTTTCTATAGCTCTGGAAGCAGGTATAAATGCTGATGTGTTGTAATGTTTAGACAGTACTTGGCAGGTCTCTTTGAGCTGGTGAATCTAGTTATCAACTATGAAGAAAACAGACGTTCAACACATCCTGGCTTTCTGAAAAATCCCTTGAATTGGCTCAGTGGCAACTAGGAGTGGGAGAACAATCATGCAAAAAGTTGTTGATAGACCGTCACCATTTGTGCAAAGTTACTACAAAAACACATAGACAGGGAAATAATCTTATCTTCCCTTAAGTAGTCCCAACACTTAGATTTATTAGATATACTCAAGTCAGTACTCAAAATTTGTAACAGGATTATGCAGATGGAATGAAATGAAAATGGAAAGATATTGCCACTTGAGCGTCTTCAGTATACTGATGTAGTACTACTGAAGTATTACTTCAAGTAATTCAGTAGCAGAGGAGAAACATCATTACATGAAGACTTACCTGGCAGCAGTCAGTCACATTTGTAATAGCAGCATCTTAAAACCAAGTATAATTACAGACTGGGAAGGAAAAGCACTAAATCTTAAGAGCTTGCCTGCTGAAGATTGCTGTAATGGACCTTATGTGAATGTACGAGCATCTGAGTGGAAGGGCAATGAACTATTTGATATCTTGGCGATAGGCTATGAAGAAATAAAATATATTCTTTGAGATAACTTTGTTCCTGCGCTCAGGAGCTTGGATTCTACTGTGTTTATTTCTAAAGCTTTTAGTGCTATGACTACCTGATACTGAATTCTACTTGCTGTTTTTAGTGTGTAACGTGTTGAAATAGTGAGCCAAATACTGAGGCAAACTCAACTTCAGTATTTTTCCTGATCCCAGTGAAATACTATCTAAATACTGAAAAGGGAAATCCTTTTAAGCAAAGGGTTTCAGGCTCATGGATCTTCTGTGATTCTGCAGGAAATACAGGAGAAATGTTTCCATTGCACTGTCAAGCAACTTAAAATTCCTAGGAGAATTCAGGTCAGCGAGCATATACTGATGAGTCAGTGAGCGTGAAGTCAGAGTTGAGATAGTTTTCAGTTTATTAATGTAAATGACACAGATCTGGATGAAAAAGACCTATTTGACAGGAAGAATGACAAAAAAATTTTCTTACACCTCTGTACCTTCTTCAGATAAACACTCTTCTCCCAGCTGAAAAAAAATTCCAGCTCAATTTAGTAGTAAGAGTCATGAAACGTCATGTAAATGATGAGGAATCCTCAACAAAAATCCAAGTTGTGTTTTAATATTTAGCTGAAGCTTTTAAATCAACTTTTAAGATCCTAAATAAAGCAAAATATTAACAAGAAAATAGATTCCAGAGGAGGGCCACGAAGATGATAAGAGGGCTGGAGAACCTTTCCTATGAGGACAGGCTGAAAGAGTTGGGGCTGTTCAGCCTGGAGAAGAGGAGGCTCCGGGGTGACCTTATAGCGGTCTTCCAGTACCTCAAGGGGGCCTACAAGAAAGATGGGGAGAGGCTGTTCAGGAGGGCCAGCTGTGATAGGACAAGGGGTAATGGTTTTAAAATAGAGGGAGGTAGATTCAGGTTGGATATTAGGAAAAAGTTTTTTACCATGAGAGTTGTAGAACACTGGAACAGGTTGCCCGGAGAAGTGGTGGATGCTCCATCCCTGGAGACGTTCAAGGCCAGGTTGGACGAGGCCCTGAGCAACCTGATCTAGTTGGAGATATCCCTGTTCCTTGGAGGGGGGTTGGACTAGATGACCTTTGAAGGTCCCTTCCAGCCCTAACCATTCTATGATTTTATGATTCTATGATTTATGCCACAGCAGGATCCTGAAATTGAGAGAATAGTGTTCATAAGGCTTTCATATCTCCTGGATGCTGATAATGTCGGAAACATGTACATGACAACGCATAGGTTTATTTACCCACTCTCATTATGAGAAGGGGAGTACTGAAATGATTTTTGGAGATTTCAGAGTCATCTCAGGAGTACGAGGCACTGAGAAAGGAAAGGCATGGTTTTCAGACACCAAGAAGAGGTGCTTAGCATCTCTTTTGAGACCACAGAAGAGCAGCTGGTGGGACCTCTTGCATGCGAGACATTTGACGCTTGTAGGAGTGCTGAGGCTGTGCGCTAGGAAAGCGGACTGAGAGAGTGCAGACATCTGGGCAGAACAAGATTGCAGGCCTGCTCCTTGGGGTGAGTTCAGTGGAGAGAAAGACGACTGATTCAGGATAAAAATTATGGAGGTAATTTTTGTTTCACTTAATCCTTCCTAGGTCCTCTCATTTCTGTTCTTGTTCTTTGTTTTGTATTTCTCGTTTTGTGTGTGTGTGTGTGTGTTTTATTTTGTTACTGTTTTTAGCTGGAGGTTTCTGGACTCCTATCCAGATCAGAAGTTCTAGCCCTGTGGCAATATTTGCTAATGAATTTAAAGCTGGTTAATTAAATACAAAACATAGCCTGGGCTTGATGTCCTTTGCTACTTAGACTGTGGTAAATGTCTTTCATACCTAAAGGAAGCTAATGCTTCTGAGAAATGGAGAGACTTGTTTTTACTCCTTAAACCTGAATAGGGATTCCTGCAACTCTTGTCTAAATATATAGGTTTCTTCTGTGGTTCATTCACCCTTAGAAATCTCAAAGACATGGACTGTAGGGGTCTGTAAAAGGTAATTGAGCAAAGAAAATCCGCTGCTTAGTAGGCTTTCAATATAGTGCCTTGCAGCTTCACTGCAAATTTTTTACAGATTTGAAAATTAAAGTAGTTGAAAACTACTGATCTGAATAACATGCATTCACTTAGGCTGCATTACTGAGTACGAAATTATATATAACATCTTCTGTGGAGAAAATAATGAATAAAGTATAAAAAGTGCCCTTCAATGCCAGCTTCTTAGGAGGCAGAATGAACAAGAAGATCTTTTGACAGGTAATCCATAAGAATCAAAGTCTGAGGATGTAGTTTACTGTCCTAAAGCAATCACAGTAACCCTTTAATACTCAAGTGTGGTAATAATCATCAAGTGTGGTTCTACTCTGAAAAGTCATTTTATGAGTAGGAACCTCTTTATCATGAGCATTCCCCAGAAGTTTCCTAAATCTTACTAGAAGCTCATGTTTCTTTTTGTTTCCTCTTTTCATTTTTCTCAGCCCCTATAGCATGATCCTATCTTGCCTTGCTCCTCAGTAGTGGAGTTGCCAGCTATTTCCTTCACTTGTGTTTTGTGTTGTTTAAGTACTTGAGACAGTTGCAAGTATGTTTGTTGAAACTCAGGTCACACTGTCACCTGCAGAAGGAATTATGGCATTGTGATCCAGTTGAGGTGATTTTGAAGGTTTTTTTTTTAACTGATGCAGGAGGTGGCTGGTAGCAGCATATTAGAATTTCTCACAAAGAATGTGTTGACACTCTTGCTACAAAACCAGCACTGACTTAATACTGCTTACAACCTTCTTCTTGTGCCAGTTTGTCCCTAAATTCCCGACGACGAGTCTGTCTTTGTTCACATTTTTACAAAGTTCTGATCCCAAGCTGAAGGAAGATGAGGGGGTGGAAGCAAAACATGTTCTGTGCTGTGACATCTGGAATTGTTGGTTGGGCATATACTGCAGTTGATCGTGGCTATTATTTATGTACTTGAAGCTCTCAGTTACCAGGGTTAATAGCAGGGTGGAGTAACTCAGGTAAAGCAAACACCTGGATAATATAAACCACATACAATTTACGCTGTGAGAACAACTTTTAGCATATCTGATTCTGTAAGAATAGTAAATATACACTGCAGTGGAGCAGAGTTAGTTGTCTTTAAATACTACCAGAGACCAAGCATGCTGTGAACAGAATACGCTCAGTGTTAAGCGCTCTGAAGCCGAGTGAAGTAGGGAAAAACTAGAACCAGTAAATCCATAATCTTGAAACTCATGTATGGGTGATTCAGGGTTGAAATGGCCAAAAGCATCCTTTAACTTTAAGGAAGAGATGAAAAGGCATGGTTCTTACCCAGCTGGGTTTGACAGATCACAGGCTTGAGTAGTGGCAAATCAAAATGCAGCAAATGAGGAAACTGCAGTTTAGGTAAGTCCTAGATGCAGAAGAAGTGCTTTTGGAAGAGTGGGTGGGATTTGTTGTTCATTAGAAGAATTAGGAACTAAGCAGAAATTGTTTGTATTTAATTTTAGCCAGCATCAGCAGTTGTGGCTGGAGAGAATAAAAGGAAGTATTGTTTTGTTGCTTATAATATTATATACTTTGGAAAGTGCTGCTGCTTTTGCCTCTAAGGTTTTATTTAGCTGATCAACTTTGTTGGTTGCTGAGATAGCACCGTAGAGCAGAATAATTATGACTGTGTACAGTTCTGAGGCAGCTGTACATCCAAACTATCATTGAACTTCTTGAGGGCACTCAGTTGAATCTACTTTTTAAAGAAAAAACAAAACAAAACAAAAAAAACCTGTGGAAAATACTTTTAATTTGACTTATTATTTAGGAAAAAATTTGCTAGAAGGCCCAAACACCTGCATACAAGATAAATATATAATATTAGTCTACAAATATCTCATATTTCTGAAAGTTTTAGTACTGTTTTTGTTTTTAATACAGCAATAATGCAGCTATGTGTGCCTAACAGAAAAGTTTGAGCATTTGAGTGCTGCTCCAGAGACTTTAAAATTGAATGCACTGAAAAATTTGTGAAAAGTCAAGAAAGCAGTTTTAAATCCTACTGAGCAAGTAATTCTGTTTGGTCTAAGACAATAAAGAGTGTCCTAGATTTTGTGCAAAGGGCAGTCAGCAGTATGATTAACCTAGACAATCATGGCTTGATTTGTCAGAAACATTTAGTGGGGATCTTGCACTTCACTTTACGGTCCCGACTACCACGTTTATGTCTGAGATTGAAATAATTTTCATATCTAATTTGATTACACATCTAATACAATTATTTTATTAAAGTTGGTTCTAAACCAACACAACCTTTGGGTTGGTCTCATTGTGTTCTGTTAGGGAGTGTTGGAACGTCAAGTAGTTTTGGTCATGGTTATTTCATATTAAAAATAAAATAGTTTAAATATACCCTATTTTTATTTTCCTAAATAATTGCACTAACAGCCTGTTTAAATTTTTAGTAGTTGTAAAAAAATAAGAATATGTATTTTGATATGCTGTTTTTATGAGTTGTGCTAAAAATCCTTTTTAGGAGTTCCACTCTTGAAGTATCAGTTTTTAGTCCTATCACTTCCCCTAATCCTACAGTGATCATAACAGAACACTAAAAAAAGCACATACTTTTCCAATTTTATCATAAACTCAAGAAGGGGTACTTCCTTAACCATTTAGTGCATCAGGATTAGATAACAGGAGAGCTGGATTTTATTCTGAGCTTTAAGAGTCATCGTAGGAAGCTGGGAACTGAGTCATAAATGTTGTTTTCCCAAGCAGAAAATTAAAAGAAGTTATTAATGTTCAGTTCTTTTATTTATTTGGATAGATTTTAATTTCTTACTTGATTTTTTTCAATTTTGCATAACTAATGTATTCTCTAATGTGAGAAACTTGAATCTGTGCCCAAATTTAAAATAAAACATATGAAATTCCTCTCCCCAGCAATTTCAAGCGGTTGTCAAGTGAAGCTGAATACATGACAATTAATGGGACAACAATGAAAAATCTTGAAATTTTACAGAATCAGGTAAGGATAAATGTAACTTTTTTTTAATAAGTGCTGAGATTTTCATGGCTGCTTGATGTACTATTCCCAATGAAGTTAGTTTGCAAATCTCACCCAGAAGTTTTGACTTATTTTAAATGGGATCAAACTGAAGGAGGATTACATTTTCAGAGGTATAAATCAAAGTTAATCTGTGCTGGCTTTCAGTATGAGTTAGGAACCTTATTGCACTTTGACTAGCAAAGAACTTTCCTGAAGTTTGAGTTCTTGAGCAACTGCAGTCAAGTGATAGGACTGCAGTATGATTTGTTTTTTCGCTTGTGCTACTGCACAGGCCTTTATGCACAGACTTAATTTAACTTGTTTAATTTATTCCAGTCACCTTCTAAAAAGATTTTTCTAGGAAAAGGAAAAGCATACTTAAGAATCTTAGGAGTGTTGGAGGTACTTTGTGAGGATTATTGATGAACAATATCAGTAATCAAACATGCTGTTGCCCTATCTTAAAGCCTAAACAGACTGTTTTAAGTAGTGTGATGAAGATCCTTCAACTACATAATTGATTGTTCAGTTTAAAATAATGATGCTGGTTTTATTATTTTAGACTGATATGAAAGCAAAAGGAAGCCTACTTTGGGTCTTGGATCATACTAAAACTTCCTTTGGACGTCGGAGATTGAAGAAATGGGTAACCCAGCCCCTCATGAAGTCCAGGTGAGTTTTTTGTCTTGGGCTAAATTTATGTTTGAAAATTATGATGTTGAGAATGCCTAGTGTATTTCTTTTTCCTGAAGACCTGCAGAAATCACATTGGGTACCATTCTAATTCCGTATCCTTTTTCAGACAATGGATGAGGATTACCTGCTATTGGAAAATGTTTTATTCCTTTGCTGCAAGTATTTGTATTCTTAATGTATTTAATTTGTTCTACAGTAGCTGTGGATGTTTCTGTTATCCCTGTACACACTGTATTGCATGTGAAAGAATTTGTTTTGTTAGTTCTGAAATGTGATGGTTGTTTGGTCACTCTTGTGTTTTGAGCTATGCTTTATTTATTAATGCTTTAGAAATGCTTTATTTTGTAATACTTTGGTGCTTGGTGTAACTTGTCTCTGTCTTGAAAGGGACTCCATCTTTTGTGACTTCTCTTTGTGGGCTTTATTGGAGTGTCGTACTTGAATATGTACTAAATAACAGTATTGAGTCCATGGAATGTTTGTTGCCTACATATTAAAGTTTTGGATCTCTCCCTTTGAATGTGCATTCCCTGTGCATTGTCAATGTAGAGTTTAGTCAGTTGTCACTTTGTTCACTTCAGCCATAGCATATAGAAAATCCTTTCGGTTTAGTTACCCAAAATAATTTTTCCCTCTGTTTTACTTTTTAAAATATATTAAACAGTTTTAATTTTTATTATTTTTAACAGTTTTAAATGGTGAGTTATACCAATGTTTTAGCGTCTTGCTGTTGCTGATAATTTACAAATGCTTATACAGAAGCATTTTTTTCCCTTGACCAATTTTTAATATGTTAAAGCACTATATTTCTGAAGCATCACTGCTTAATTTTCATGTTAGTCTTTTTGTAAAGATCTTTTGTCAGTAGTGTAAGAAAAGCACATAACTGTTTTTTCCCTCCTGTTTTCTTGATTTAGAATATTCAAGACCTTTTTCATTTTTAGGAGCCATACTGATTTGACTGTTTCACTCTGCAGTTTCTGGCAGGGATTTAATAAGTTGGTTTCAGTATGCTTTTTTTAAAAAAAAAATTTTCTTCTGATAGTAGCTTTTATATATTTTACCAACTTCAAAAAGACTTTTGATGTAACCATCCTAAATAGTATTAAACTTTATGGAAGTTGATTAGGTGCCTGATGTTCACCTTAGAAAGCATATAGATAGAATTTCTGGGCCACTTTACAGGAATTGCCCTTGAGGCACCTTATGACCTTTTGGGAATTGTTAGTAAAGTTGTCAGCGGGGGGAGCCAGAGCACAGGCTCTCTTCTGGTGCGATGGCAGCACTGAGGATGGGGACTTGAGAAGAAGTGCCTCTAACCATTTTATTCCAAAATGATCACATAGGCGATGCAGCAAGTGAAATAGCATTCAACAGCAAAATAGAGAGAGTTCTTACCTGGGTACAGTGATAGAAAACTGCTTGCCTGGGGACTTCTTCACCAGTAAATTTAGTTTAAATTCTTGCTTGTATCAGCGCAGAACCAGCTTTACAAGTATGCAGTTTTGGTTTCTTCTCTTTCTCCTCTGCTGTTTGCTACTTCTCTTTTTCAGCCTTCTTTCTCAGAATTTTCAGGGTTGGACATGACAGTACTCTTCTGTTGAAGCTAAAAAAAGCTATTTTGTTTCTGTATATTTCTCTCTTTCTCACTCTTAAGTTGTAATTTTACATACTTAGTGCATCAGATGTGCGGCAGTATTGTTTCCAGTAACGCACACAAATGCACTTAGAGAACATTCTGTAATTGTAATTCACCTGTGCCTCCCGGAGTGACATTTTCAGAGGAAATAAGATTTCTGCATCTTTTCCAGTCAGTGTGTAGGTGCATTTCCCTAGGTGTATCAAAAAGTTAGCGGGCGTAATTAGTGCTTTATGCCTTATAGTTGAAAATCACTTGGGATGATGACTGAATTTCCAGGGGAGAAACCATACACTAGGTTGAATAAAGGTAAAACGTGTACAGACAGCTCTTTTGGGCAAACTTCAAGATCATTGGTGATGTAATACATTTGGAGACTTACAGGAAAAGATTTTAAGCATTAGACGTGTGATTTTTCTGGCAGGGAGGAAGGCTTAACCAAGGAAGGTGCAATGTCCTCACTTGTTCACCTAGGTATACAAAGATGATGAGATAAGAATGTGTGAGTCATTAAGGATTGAGCTTTTTAGGAAGAATCAGGAAAGTCATTGTTTTTTGTAGGAGTTATGTCTTTGTGGATTACAGAAGGGTTAAGTCGCCTTGCCTATCTTACCTTTGAAAGGTAAGTTCCACCCAGTGCTTTTCTAACCTAAGTTCTGTAAGGGGAGCAAAAGAAAAGGAAATAGAAAGCTGAATTGGTTGGAACATTTTTGACTGAATGAAATGTGGAAATGTGCTGTTTCCCTGCTGGGCAATGGAGTTTCAGCAGGAGGGGTAGAACTTTGTATCATCGTACTCAACAGCAAAAGGGCTAAGGACTGGTCTCAGGATATAGTGTTGTAACATGTTGTGATCTTTATGCCTTTGTATGTGTGTCACATTTAAAAATAATTTCTTTCCTAATGCAAAATTAATCTTGGAACCTCTGAAATTGATGTGAAACAGTTGTTGCATTTTGAATAGCTACAGGAAGAGGAGAAAGATAAGCTTAACATAGGCTTGGTCAAACAAACCTGAATCTGATTTGCATCTTTCTTGTTTTGCTCTTGTGTATTATGGATACCTTGTCCTATGGTGATGGTATAAAAGAAACTGCAAGGAAGTTGTTGCCTTGCACATGGACAATCTGAAGCCTCATGTCCACAAAATATGTCTTTCCTTGTTTCTGTTATATCCATGGTTACTCCCTTCATCTTTGCATCTGTCTTTCCTGCTCTAAGTGTTATGACTGGCTTCAAGCTATAGCAGTGCTGTTTGTCCAGTTTGGAGTCCAAACAGAGTAGACAACTGTGGAAGAAGTACTTCATGCTTTTCCTCATTGAGTATTCATTTGTCTCTGTGCCTTGCTCAGCTGTTGATTTTTGCATGATGTGTAGGAAGTTTTTTCCTTGAGATCAAACAAACACCTTCCTCAAGCTTGTCAAGGTTGACTGGAATTGAACAAAGAGTTCAAAACTGAAAAAGGCAGATGAGTAGCACAATTACATGGAGGTTTATTATTTCCGTATTAGATCAGCCTGTAAAGCTAAGAAATCTGTGAGTAGGGGCTTAAAGTAGAACTTGAGATAAATGATGGATGTATCATCCTGAGCAATTTATAGCTGCTGTAGAAAACAGAATTACATTCCTGTGCAGAGAACTCTATGGCCTGTATGTATAGAAAGCATTGCATAAGAGAGATTCCCCCTCTCCATTCTATTCCTGGAGAGGTAGAATATCTTTTAAATACCAGTGGGTGGACATCATGAAGTGTCATTTCTAGTACTGTAGCCAGGGAGAAGGTAGAGACTTTGCTATCTAAGTGGAAGATAACCTGGAAAATGCTAGTGTTTGCCTTTGTTGCAAAAATGCTTAGTTTATGTGTTTCTAGTGCGAAATATTAAAAGCTTAGGTGTGGAGGGTGGATAACTGGAAGTGATAAAATGTTTGTTGTGTGTGTTAGATAACATATTAGTTTGCACAATGCTCTCTCTCTCTCTGGGGTGGTATCTACTGGTTTTTGAAGGTGTTTGTGGTTTGAAGTGGCTTAAACAGACTGAGCGATCCAGAAATACCTAAATTGTATTTCTTCAGTATTCTGCTGACTCGGGTTAATTTTTTTAATGCATTATGTATAATGTATACATTATGTATTATGTGCAGAAGCTAATGTAATTAGGTTAATGATAATCTTATGGAGAGCAGAATGGCATAAACATAGAGTTCAGAAGTCATGCAATTTCCAGCACGGAAAGCTTGCTCAAGGCTTTGGGGTGAATAGACTTTGCCCTTGTCAGCCTGTATTGAGATAGGAAAATACGCAACCCCCTCACCAGTGTAGAACTTCTCATTTGTATTTTGGGGATGCGTGTGCCAGTACTGGTGTACTGCAAGTCACAGAATATGCTTAGTGTACTGGATTAAATGTAGAGCAAAAAACCAAAAGCCTCTAACACAACATAGTGTGCTACGGGAAAAGACTGGTGATCAAAGGTTTCATCCATGTCTTGGGCCTCTGCCATAACAGAGAACTTAGGAGGTAAAAATAGGCAATTCCCACCAAGCCTGGAGGCCAAAGGTCCCTCTCCCTGCTTTCTGGTTTCCGTGCGGACCTTGAACCGGTGGCAAGATGTGGCCAGCACAAGGCTTGGTGTTTTCTCAGGGCTCCGAGTGCACTGCTGTGAACAGCATCCTGCTGGAATTTCTGGAGCTGGCGTGGTAGAAAAAAGGCTGAGGACAGAGAAGTCTCTCTTAATTTTTCCAGATCATTAGTAGAGGTTCAGAAGCAGAGAATTAATTAGTTTAAAAGTATTCCAGACCACATCAAATACATGGTGACGAAGCCTCTTCTAGATGCCGCAAGAGGTATCAGCAAATCAAACACTTAAAGCCTCCTTAGCATGAGCTCACGTTTTTGGCCCCAGATTCACCCCAACTTGTTGATGCATTTCAGCTTTACTGTGATGTAGTTCATGTTCTTGTCTGCAAGGCACACTGCTTGCCTGAAGTGCATATAGGACTTCAGTGGTTGGTACTCTCTGTGTAGTTTCTTGCCTGCGTTTATTTGTAGTCAATTTATACTCATTTGATCTTTTTCTAGTTAAAGCTGATACTTAAATCTCAAAGAAGGAAGAAAATTTGTACGTATTTAGGGAGTTGCAAAAGCCATTTTAACCCTTACTTTGCAGGCTAGAGAAACCAAATTTTTAATTACCTCTCAAAAACTGGATTTCCATTTTTTTTTCCTCTGATTCTAATACCTTTTGTTCTTCATTGCTTCCAGTTCTGGATGAGATGATGCTTTTATTGAGGCTGAATTGAAGCCTTGTAGGATAGTATTAATAGTTGCTATTAGTTT